TTTTTCTCTTTGAAATAAATAAATATTATTAAATTCAAACTGAAAATGTTTTTAAATAACAGACCACACATCTTTCTTGAAGTACAAAAGCTTTAATGAGCAAAATTTAAAGCCATATAGTAAAAAAAAAAAAGGTTAAAAAGTTAAAACTAATTATGACTTCAATTTAACAAAATGGGGGCAATTAGCTCCAGCATGTTCAATACCTATATTTTCACATAGACATAGGTTGTATGCAATTCTGACAGATCCATTCCATGGCTTCAATATCAGCTTTTTCTGGGATTTCATTATCAAAACTATATTTTAAAAATGTTTAAACCTATTTCTACATATTAATAACTTCTGTTTTCAATTTAAACTGTAGGCCTATCTGTGCATTGTTATATGAATTAAAACATGAATTTAATTAATCAGATAAATATTATTTGGTTGTTTTAATTTTCTTTTTAACAGTTGGGGGTGTTAAGCCCCTGCTATTTAAAATATTCATTTTTATAAACTAATTAAATAAATAAATAATCTACAGAACCATAATAATATCTCTTTTACAAATGCTTCCTATTCAAAATATTAAAAGGAACTTTAGTATTAAAGTGAATTTTATAGCTTTTTATAAACAATCTCTAAATCATTCATCCAACTGCCATTTTACTTTGCGAAAACGAAAACGACCAGCTTCATTTGCTCTACAAATATCAGTATTTTAACTCATTCATTACATGCACATATGGTTTAAAACTTTTAAAAAGTACTTGGTGAGTTTAGTTGTAATTGTTTTTGTATGTAAACTAAAAAACTTTCACTGTAAAAATAAAATTTCAAGTAAAAATAAACAAGCACCCTCTTAGCTGAAGTTTTATAAATGGTGTGAAGAAAGCTGAAACAGGAGGGGAAAAGCACTTGTCTAAAAAGACAAATTAAAAATCAATCCAATAGGTTAGAAACGCAAGAATGGTTGTGAAAAGTTCTCTGATTGGTTAGTAAGTTTCTACCAAGTACAGCTTAATGCCCTTCTCTCTTCTTACAATAATTTACAATAATATCAAGCATTTTATTGTATGAACTGAGCAATTAGGGCTTAATACCACATGGAGCCAATTACCTCCCTTTACCCTACTTCATATTTATAGTACTACGTTAATTAATTTAATTTTGTTCGGTTCAAAATAAAACTCAGGTCAAACTGAAACTGTAGAAATCCAATGCCAATAATTCAATAATACTAATTACTAATTCTATAATACTCGACTTGACCTATATTATATATTAATATTATTATTATTCTAATAATTATTAAAACTGCACATTTAATAATTTTTCAACTTCGTTGAAGTCTTCAACCCAATGATAGCCCAATGATTTACCAATAATGACAAAATTATTGATTAAACTAAATTCAAAATTATAAAATAACAGGCCTACTCACTTGTAGTATTAAGTTCCTTTGCGATTCGTGCCAAAGTTTCCATCAAACATCCCTGCCAATAGTATGGTCCATACACTGATAACCTATGACTTTGGTTGCTATATCCCATAGTGGTAGTGGCGTGCGGTCATGCACTAGAGATAATAGTTTATCAATTTCAACCACTTTAATTTATAAAATGCTACAATTTGTAAATATTTAAATTACTTATGATGGATCCAAAGGAAAAATACACAAATGAAAGGCTATTCTAGGTTTAAGATGACATTTTTGTACAAATTTTTTTTTTTTAAATTACTATGTCATACTCATAGTAATAGTATGAAAAGGTCATAGGCAAGAACGGCGGAGGAGCATGGGCGCCCGCAGAAAACTTTCCAGGGAAGGGGGGGCAAAAAATTGATTAACTTTCC